GCCCTGCATACATTCCCCCGATACACTTCGCATACATACTCATTCTTCCAAGTTGCTTCACGTTATGATCTTGCATTTGAAAGCCCTATTTGAATATTGTGACCAGCTGTCTTTGATGGTACGGAAAGGGACAGGTGCGGGATAGCGCCAGGCATGCCGATGCTGTCCTTGATGATACGGTACGGGACAGGTACGGGATAGCGCCAGGCATGCCGATGCTGTCCTTGATGGTACGGTACGGGACAGGTACTGGATAGCGCCAGGCATGCCGGTGGCACAAACAAACAAACACGAAAATAAAGCTGCGTGGACCCTGGCTAGCGCCAGACGTTACTGAAGTAACGTCTTTTGCATAGCTACGGGAATTAAATACGTCTGAGATTTTGAGTCGTAGACACGTGGTCACAGTTGGCCGTAGTCTGAACCGCCTATAAGGGGGTTTCTGTGAATAACGGCAAAAATTACTTGGTTGTTTCTTTGCTGTGTGAGTATTGTGGATGAACGTGTGTGGGTGTGTGAATGTGTCTGTGTGCGTGCACATGTACGTATGTGTGTATAATTGTATTCTTGTCTGTGTCTTTGTGTACATGCGTGCGTGTGTGCATGTGTAAGCATGTATGTGTGCAAGGGTATGTGTATGTGTGAGCATGCGTACTGCATGTGTTGTGTGCATTGTGTATGTACTGTATGTGTGTGTGTGCATGTATGCACTCACAGTTGCAGAGAAGCATCGTTTGCCAATCATCACCGATGAGATCTACGGCCAAGTGGTAAGTCATACAGTGTTTCTCATCTCCAAGCTTACGGTGCTGGATAACTGAGACCACCTGTCTCAAGAGACCACCTGTCTTAACAGACCACCTGTCTTTACAGACCACCTGTTTTAACAGACCACCTGTCTTTACAGACCACCTGTCTCAACAGACCACCTGTCTTTACAGATCAGTTAAGTCAAGCCACCAGACCCGATTTCCCTGGTTCGAACACACATCACAACCTATTCCGTCATGTGAAAGTCCTCCCTACCATGCCTCACAAACGCACACGTGTACAAGGATGTACCTGCAAAGACGGACTGGGTCCTGGATGCTGCTGTGTAATTGTTGTTTGTGTTGCATGCCATGGCCCTGTGGCATAACAATCTCACGATCGTATCATGTTAGTCAATGAAATCCAAATCGGAAACCGGTGGAACGGGCCTCTTTGTGACACTCACATCGAGTGTGTAGATTGTGGAGTGTAGGTTCTTGTGTGCTCTGCACATGTGTGTGCGTGCGCGTGTGCGAGTGCATGCATGAGTGTATGCGTGTGTGTGTGTGTGTGTGTGTGTGTTTGTGTGTGTGTGTCGCAGAAACACTGTGTGTAGAACGGCCCCCTTTCATCTAAATTGCTGTCCTTCTTTCTTTTTCCTTTCTCGCTGTTGTCTCCCGCTTCTGGGAGCGACGTGGCCATTTTGTGGCAGTTGTACATAGTAGTAGTAGTAGTAGTGTGTGTGTGTGTGTGTGTGTGTCGAGAGGTTGCGGGTTCAATTCCCGACGATTATGGTCTTCCCTTGCATGCTCTCTCTCATGCAGCACACGATAGAGTTGGATTCAGAGACATCATTCACAATTCTCTCGCTGATTAATGCCTCTACGATCACCTTGTGATTATGAGTTATACATACATACATACATTATATGGTCGCACACGTCTTTTTTCTCTTTCTCATTCTCCTAGTTCTTCTTTCATTCTCCTGGGTGGTTACCAACAGCCAGTGTAGGCCAGAGTATGTGGTGTGGCATGTGTGTGTAAAAAAAGAATGAAAAATGGGAAAAAATGAAAAATGAAATATAGGGATTCACTGGCCAGAAAAAGCCACTTCAGTCAGCTGTGTGGTGGATACCAGGCTAAAATTAGTGGCGGTCAATTCATCAGCCTTGCAAACTGTTGAATGGTGTAATCCCAGCACAAGTTGCTATGTCTACCATAGCCGTTCACTATCATCGCTTCCGCAATGGGCATGTCTGAGTCTGGGTCTGAGTGTATGTGTGTGTGTGTGTTTGTCTGTCTGTCCACCTCTTTGTGCTCTCTGCCACGTCATAGGTGTATGGTGGTGCTGAGTTCCACGCGCTGGCCAGCCTCACTGACCGTGTACCCATCCTGACATGTTCTGATATTGGCAAAAGGTATACCTAGCAGAGTGTTGAGGCAGTAGACGTGTTTCTGTCTAGGATCATAACCATGTGTACAAACGACGCGGAGACAACAATTTCGAAAGAGCACTTGATTGATTTAGCTCTGCAGTCATCACCAAACTGCAACGAAGTCGAAAAGTTTCCATAATCAATTTCTTGTCACTATCATCAGTAGAATATCGTGACTGAATCGAGTGTATATACATTCCGGAGTATACGCCGCGCCCCCTTTTCGGTTTTTAGTTGGCACTTCATGTAAAAGCCGCACCTTGCTAGAATTTGGATTTTTTGGCAACCTATTTAAGTGGGCATCGGTACATATGAAATGTTGCCAATTGTTCCATCTGTGCTGTTGCCCAGTCAACTTGTTCCAGGCTGGAGGACTGGTTGGCTGATTCTCCATGACAACCATGGCCGACTGGAAGATGTGAGTAACTGATCTGTAATTTTCTTCTGTTGGTGTTTCTGTTATTTTGTCTCCAAACCGCGTGTAGTACAATCTTTCCTTAAAAATCCATGTCCTCCTGTCCTCCTGTCCTCCAGCCCGGCTCAAAGTGTGTGTGTGTGTGTGTGTGTGTGTGTGTGTGTATCATTGTCTCCAGGTTCGTGTCTGCTTGAACAACCTGTGGGCACGAATCCTCGGCTCGTGCGGACCCATCCAAGCTGCACTTCCTCGTATTCTCAGCGAGGTTCCCGATGAGTTCTTCCAGAACACCAACAGACATTTAGCGGTAAGATCCTGAATTTCCCTGGATACTCTCTTTCCTTGTTTGCCATGTGTTCAAACCAGTACAGGACTGCCGGGCGCCAAAGAACGGAGCGCCAAAGAACGGAGCGCCAAAGAACGGAGCGCCAAAGAACGGAGCGCCAAAGAACGACCAGGCTAGAATTTCACCAAGCACAGCCAATGTATACACGGTAACTTAACTGTGCATAGACTGTAATACATGAAAATAGGAAAGGTCTAGGCTAGGAGGCGCTACCCCCCCCCCCCCCCTCTCAGTTCTTCGGCGACCAAAAGTACTGTACTGGCACTCTTGAGGGGGGGGGGGGGGGACTGGTAGCTCAAAAGTGCAATTTTGGTCGGCTTTTGGGGAATTACCTGCAGAATTTGAATAGAGGAGACTTCTCCATTTTTCTATAAATATGTTGATATGATGTCGCCTTGTTGGGTTACGGCATCTAGAAGACTGGGAAAGGGAGTGATGGTCTGAAGCACTGTGTTGTACTGTCAATTGCATAATTATGTGCTTGTCCATGGGTCTCTGTGTGTGTGAGTCGTATGTGTGTGTGTGTGTGTGTGTGTGTCAGTGTGTGTGTGTGTGTGTGTGTGTGTGTTTGTTTGCGCACATGTGTGCGTGTAAGTGCACGTGTAAGTGCACGTGTATGTGTGTGTGTACGTGTGTGTGTGTGTGTGTGTGTGGATGTATGGGCATGCTTCGGCCCGTATTTCGGTACATTCCACTGCAGGCCACGTCAACATTAGCGTATGAGAAGCTCGCCTCAGTTCCGTGTATCATACCGACCAAGCCACAGGGCTCTATATTCATGCTGGTATGTTTTTGTCTATTCGGTTGTGTATTCAAATTTGAAACTTCAAGCTGACCGTTCTTGTCCCTTTGGTTGTGTGTTTCATTTGAATTTGCAAGCTGAACTTACTGAACAGATTCAATGACAAGGAAGCGGGTGAGGTCCATGCAACCCAGCCAAGGGAAACTTGGAGAAGGAGACACAAATGGTGCTCCTTCTTGTTGAGTCGCACTGTTCCAGGGAGTCAGTGGTCCCATTGTTTGGCCTGAGCTTGGCATTAGTTTGCGATGCTCACCCCGGCTTAGTCCGGTGGATGACCAGGATGCGGGAAAGAGCACCGATTCGATAGTTTAGTCGGCACGGTATGTCGGGTAGCGGACGGGGATGTGACCAGGGCTCGTTTTCGGCGATTTGTTTATCCCTCCCTATCCACATGAGTAACTAAATACTCAATCTGCGGACAGCATGCTGTTTTTGTGTAACTAAATACGTTTTCATTCCGATTGCAATATTGCAACCAAGAGGACAAACTGTATAGTAACCATCATTAATTTTTATCGATGATGGACAATTGAAGTTGTTATCTCCGAAACGCTTGTTCAATCCGGCTGCCTTCCATTTATCTTCTCCAGTTTGGCATCAAGGTGGACCAGCTGGACGGCATTGCTGATGATGTGCAGTTTGCGGAGCAGCTGATGAGCGAGGAATCCGTGTTCGTCCTCCCTGGCTGTGTTAGTATTCTAGTGGCGTTGTTACTATGCAATAGTATTTTATGATATGCCCGCTACTTTTTGTAGTTTGAGCACTCTGGCGCTAGAGCGACGAGCTAACTTAAAATGTCTGTGGTGCCTCCTTTGCACCATGGCTGGTAGCTTGGCCTATTTAGCTCGTAGCTGTACTGATGAGGCCTTTATGGCCGAAACAGCTTGCTGTCTACAGCATTGGGTAACACTTGTTATTTATAATTATGAAATGACCCAAGGGCAATATGTTTATAGTGTGGATCTGAAATGAAAAAAATTGACCGGCATTATTTGAGGTTTCAAAGTCTGAAGAAAATGTTGAATGGTCTCTGCTGGGATGACAGCTATACCATAGCTCAGTGGTTAGAGCATCGCTGGCCTCAAGCGACGGTCCCTGGCCCTGGTTCGCATCCTGGTGGTGACAATCAATTTTTCTTCAGACTTTCTCCTCTCCATTCCCTCAACTAGGGAGCATTATTTGTGGTGGCCATTTTGGAAGTGACACCCTGAAGATATGGTTTTATGGAAAGCAATCGTGTAGACAGAGTGG